AGGGGCCCAAGGACCTGGATCATCTTCCACTGCTTTCCCAGGCCATAGCAGAGCTGGATCAGAAGTGGAGCAGCCGGGTCTCGAACTGATGCCCATATGGGATGCTGGCACTGCAGGTGGCGGCTTTACCTGCTCTGCCACAGTGCCAGCCCCAAGATACTAATTTTGAGAGCTCGATCTTTTTTATAGCCACCTCAATGCACTCGTGTCAGTTCTAACATCTTGTACTGCATATTGACAATGACCTAGGCTGCTGGGGCCATTGCTGCATTGGAGTTTGCCTCTTCTGCCAAACTCTTCTGGGTTACTGTCTTTGTCATTCTCACCGCTGCAGCCCTTAGTGGCGTCTCTGTTCTCACCCCTGCCCCCCACCCCTCCTTCAGATCACTTGGAGGCTGGACTTCAAAAATGAAAGCTTGAAGCAAAGTCAGTGTTAACTGAATCAGTATGTTTTAAAAGTTATAGGCAGAAGGGAGAGAGAAAGCAAGGAGGGATCACATCCACTGGTTTGCTCCCCAGATGCCCACGTGGCTGTAGAGGGGTCGTGGGCTTGGCCAAAGTTGGTGACCCATTCTGGGTCTCCCTTGTAGATAGCAGGGACCCAAATACTTGAGCTGTCACTTGCTGCTTCCCAGAGTGTGCATCAGCGGGAACCTGGAATCAGGAGTCGGGCTTCCAACCCAGGCTCTCTGCTGTGGAATAAGGGTGTCCCACGCACTCTAGACCAAATGCTCACCAGGGCGGTTTTAATTTTAATGAAGTGGTTGTGGTTTTAGAAGTTCTACAGTGCAGTGTAACCCAGTATATCCTGCACCAGGGATCTCCAGGCAGTTCATGGAAAATGTGTACTACAAAAAAAACTATGTATTTTTGCACAAAAATAAACATCTTTCAATTCCATTGTCTAGAAACTTGACAATACCCAAAACTGTTGTCTAATTTGAATATTTATATTTTAAAATATAAAGTTCATACCTGTTTGTAACAATACATCTTTTAAAGTTAAATGTTGGCTTAGAAATATTTACTATTCCGCTGCAGTATCTCATGACGTAATTTTGTCTAAGCTCTTTGTTTGCATCTTCAAGATCGGTGACATCGTGACAGTCGGCTCTTGCAGCCTTACCCATTGCCTTCACTTCTCAGTGGTCTGAGATACTCGGATCTCTGTGATATAACCACCCAACATTTCACCTTGCAAGTGTCCTTTGTGGTAACATCGGGACTTTTCATTTTCACAGTTTAATTATGATCTTCTCTGTATAAATACTTCATTTTAATGTAAACTTTGGCACCTAACACTTAAGGAAAAATATATCAATCTTCAGTGTCCGGCTTGTTGAATTTTCTGAGTGGCCGTACATAATGAGTACCCAGACGAAGAAAGCAAGCATCACCACTTCCCCCTAAGGTCTTTCATTTAGCCATGAAAGCTCTTTCAAGCTCTTGTCCACCAATACTTGGACTGCACCCATTCCCTTGATGTGGGTAACACCGTCCTGATTTCTAATACCATGGATAAGTCTTCTCTGGTGTGCAAGCTTGTATGAAATGGGGGAAAAAACAGAATGTGACTTTGTGTCTGGATTCTTTGACTCCAGATCATGTTTGAGACCCCTACATATCGCTGTATCAAGTTGTGTGTTCATTTCATTCATGGGGAGTATCCGATTGTGTGATAGGCTCGTTTCACCCATTCTGGTGTAGATGGACTTTGCAGGTTATGTCCAGATTTGGGCTTTTATGGTTAGTGCTGCTGTGAACATCCCGTACAGGCTCTGTATGCATGTTTCTGTTTGGATCTCACCATGGAATCACTGGGTGGGGAAATGTGTATGTTCACCTTAGCAGGTGCCACCAGTTTATGGGCTCATCCAGCCTTGCCAACTCTTGGGATTTCCTGCTGTCTTAACTTGAGCAATTTAGATGGATTCATGGAGGCATTTCATTGTTTTTAGTTGTATTTCTACACTATTAAAAGTTAAGCATATTTTCATGTGTTCATTAGCCATAATTCTTATTCAAATTTTTTGCGCACTTTGCTGGTTCATGTTTTGTTTCTTATGAACTTGGGAGTTTTCCATGTACTTTAGGTTCAAGTTGTTTGCCAGATACACATATTGCAAGTGTTTCCATCCACCCATTTTGTGGTGGTTATTTTTCTTTTTAATCTTAATGGTAACTTTATTGTTTCTTAGACTACTCTTGGCCGGCACCGCGGCTCACTAGGCTAATCCTCCACCTAGCGGTGCCGGCACACCGGGTTCTAGTCCCGGTCGGGGTGCCGGATTCTGTCCCAGTTGCCCCTCTTCCAGGCCAGCTCTTTGCTATGGCCTGGGAGTGCAGTGAAGGATGCCACAAGTGCTTGGGCCCTGCACCCCATGGGAGACCAGGAAAAGCACCTGGCACCTGGCTCCTGGCTTCGGATCAGCGCGATGCGGCTGTCTCACTGTCCACTCTGCCTGTCAAAAAACAAACAAACAAACAAACAAACTCTTATATAATCCTGGAAATGTGTCAGATTCTTCATCTGTTTTAAATTTGATTTTTAAAAAATATTTTGCAAGTCATTTACAGAGAGGGAGACGATCACTCTTCCAACTGCTGGTTCACTCACTACATAGCTGCAAAGGCCAGTGCTGGGCTAGGCCAAAGCCAGGAGACTCATCCTGGTCTCCCACTTGGGCGGCAAGGGTCTAAACACTCAGGCCACCTTCTGCTGCTTTTCCCAGGCCATGAGCAGGGAGCCAGATTAGAAGTGGAGCAGCCAGGACATTAAATGACATGCATATGGGATGCCAGTGTTGCTGGTGGTGGCTTTACCTGCTATGCCCCAACACCAGCCCCTAGTACTTGAAATCCGTCAGGTGATTCTAGAAGCATCTAAAGCTAGCAGTGAAAGGACAATTTTTAATTATTCCTTTTTTTTTTTTTTTAAAGGATTTTGAGAGGTAAAGTTACAGACAGAAAGGTCTTCTATCCATTGGTTCACTCCCCAAATGGCCGCCACTGCCAGAGCTGCGCCGATCTGAAGCCAGGAGCCAGGTGTTTCTTCCAGGTCTCCCTTGCGGGTGCAGGGGCCCAAGGACTTGGGCCATCCTCCACTGCCCTTCTGGGCCACAGCAGAGAGCTGGACTGGAAGAGCAGCAGCCGGGACTAGAACCTGGCGCCCATGTGGGATGCTGGTGCTGCAGGTGGAGGATTAACTAAGTGAGCCATGGCACCGGCCCCAGATTATTCTTTACTGTGAAGTCATTGAGATCCTTATGATGTGACTTCCAGAATTTTTTGTGTGTAATTCATCTTTTAAGCATAGACAAGGATCTTTCCCTAGGCCTGTATTTGCAGCATATAAAAAAAGCAAGCTCTGATCTATTGACTTCTCAAAGGTCATTTCTATGTTGTGATTGAGGGTTTTTGATATAACTATCCTGTGTGTCAATTTACTGAATATTTAAATATTTTGTATTTACCTAAAAACAATGCAAAGAAACTTTTTTAAAAGTTATTTATTTGAAAGGCAGAGTTAGAGAGGCAGAGGCAGAGAGAGAGGTCTTCCATCAGCTCGTTCACTCCCTAGATGGCCACAATGGCCAGAGCTGGGCCAATCTGAAGCCAGGAGCCAGGAGCTTCTTCCAGGTCTCCTAGGTGGGTGCAGGGCCCATGCACTTGGGCCATCCTCCACTGCTTTCCCAGGCCGTAGCAGAGAGCTGGATTGGAAGTGGAGCAGCCGGGACTTGAGATGCCGGCACTGCAGGCGGTGGCCTTTCCTACTATGCCACAGCGCCAGCCCCAGAAAACTTTTCTTATAATGATGTGCCACCCTGGCTAGGTTACAGTGCCTAGTTATTCAGTCTAGTACTACTCTAGGTATTTAATCCACTGACTAAAGGGAGACAATGTGGTGGGCCTCCAGCTGTTAGAATGCCTTAAAGCCAGACTGCAGCTGCCGGGAAACAAATCCCGCTGTGGACAGCAGCTCGCGCCCTTGCCGTGGAGTTCCATCCTGGCTGTGGTCTTCCCTTGCAGACTGCTGCCCCATGGGTTCTGGACTTGCTAACGCAGGCCTCCAAGTATCATACATGACAGCTCCTTATTAAAACAGAAAACCCCAAGTCTTCTAGTTCTTCTCTTATTAAAACCTCAAACAGTAATTTTAGGAAATTTTTTCTTCAAAAATCTGCAAAAATATGAATTGTTTTTATTACAGGAGATAAGACTAGAAACCTTAGAAATTTTGTGTGTGTAACTCACTCTAAAGCTCATTTTTTGACTAGTGGTATTTAAACCACACTCATTTTTGGTACTATTGGTTTACTTTTTAGCACAGTCTATATTTAAATAGTACAAATCTTAGAACTCTAAGAACCTGTTGTCATCATCTTTGGTTATCATTTAGTATGTATTCATATGCAATGTTTAGAATGTGTTCTTTGTGCTCCTCAACAGAAAAATGTACTTTAAAGCAACCAGTCTTTCCAATCATCTTGCAAACTTTTTTTTTTTTTTTTAAAGATTTATTTGAAAGGCAAAGTTAGAGAGAGGGACAGATAGAGATGGAAGTTTTCCATCTGCTAGTTCACCCGACAAATGGCCACAATGGCTGGGGCTGGGCAGGCTGAAGCCAGGAGCTTCATCCAGTTCTCCTACATAGGGGCAGCAGCCTAAGCACTTAGGCCATCCCCCACGGCTTTCCCAGGCACATTAGCAGGGAGCTGGATTGGAAGTGGAGCAGCCAGGACGGAAACCAGTGCCCATTTGGGATGCAGGTGCTGCAGGCAGTGGCTTAACCTGCTATGCCATAATGCCAGCCCCCAAATTTATTAATCTCTTAAAGGAATACATTTTAGTATTTACAAAATACATTACTTTTCTTTGACTTCAAGTTAAATCTGTGCATGTGACTGGACAATATTTGTGGTTAATACAACAAGGCTTTCCAAGTGACACTGAAAAAGCTATAAAGTAGTACTTTTCAATGTGAACAATGCTAAAATAACTAAGTCAAAAGTAGGTTTGTTTATTCAGAAGGTGATTCAATTGTAGAATGAAACCATTTTAGCACTATAAAATCCAATGTTTTGAAATCTTGCAGCAATTCTCTTTATTAGAACTTTCATAATCCAGAAGTGATTCTCTTCTGTGAAGCTTTTCATGCATTCAGGTATTTGGCGTGATGTCTGATGTGATCAGCAATAAAGGTTGCAATGAAGTAGTAGCCATGATCATAACCCTAGAAGATGAAATAGAGAGAAGACATCTGTTTACCATTCAGACAGTTCAGTGCCAGGGGCATTCTCTCTCCTGGCACTTCATTTGCTTCTAAGTAGTCAAAATACTAGTTCATGAAAGGTTTACAATCAAAATCAAGGTTGTTGTTGTACTCAAATGGTTTCATTATACGTCAAAAGGGCAACAAAAGCATGGAGGAAACATTCTACATAGCCAAGCTACTAAATGCTACCGTTAACATAAGACAGAAAATACAGTAATTAAATGTGCAGAGTAGACAAGTGGTTATGCAACAAGGATTAAAAAAATCAAGATTTAAAAACACTTAGAAGCATGAACATTTCAACTAACAAAATAACTAACAAAAACAACTAACAAAATAAGTACATTAACTTACTTATTACTTATTACTTATTGATAAGTAATGATTTAAAATACAACATAAGCAACATGAAAAGTACAAGGAAAGAACATAAAAATGATCAAACGTTCTATCCCTGCTTGGGAAGTAAAATACAGCCATTATAAATCCCGTAGAATTCCACTTCCTGGGTGGTCATTGGGGGTTCAGCCGCTGCTCACAGCACCCCAACCCATACTGGTGTTGGTTACACAGCTTCTGTTCTAGCTTCCTGCTAATGCCTACCCTACAAGGCAGCTGGTAATGGCTCAAGTAGTTGGTGCTCGGCTACCTCCCCCTCATGGGAGACATATATTAGGTTCTGGGTTTCTGGCTTCGGCCTTCCCAGCCCTAGCTGTTACAGGCATTTGGGGAGTGAACAGGTAGTCTGTTTCTGTCACTCTGCCTTTCAAGTATATGAAAACAAACACTTAAAAACAAAAACAAGAATTCTACCTCCTATACAAGCACTTCATATCTTTTCTTGGAGAAAGGAATAATTCATTACATGTGGACATTCCCTAGGAATATATCAAATTGGGGGAAAAAAAAAATCAAACCATTTGAAAACTACCATGAAACAGAAAATGCAATGTGCCAAGCAACTGAGTTGAAACATCTCAATCTGTCCTGTCAATTACAACTAGTGTTGTAGGCAAACAGGAGGCAGTCTCTTCTGACACCATGCTAATATATAAAGAGTGGTAGCTCTTAAAGGAAAAAGAAATTAATGTGGGAAAGATTTTGTAAGGGTGTAAAAAACAATTTTAGAACAGCCTTGCTGCCCAGCTACACTGGGCAAATACAAGGTAGAATAAATGGCCACAGGTTAAAGTCTAGCAAAGATTTTTTTTTTAAGTTTAACTAGTAAATGGTCTCTGGGGGAAAACAGGAATTTTTATAAGCACAAAAGAAATAAAAATAGACTAAAAAAACCATTGGTTTCAGGAAACAAGGGCAATCCACAAGGTTCTGGTGAATCAGTGAATGTTCTCAATCTGTTACTTCCAGAAAAGTATAGAATGTGTATCTCAGGAGTTAATGAAACGTTCTAGCTTGAAGTCAAAGTAATTTAAAATTCTATCAGGGAAGTAAATCGGACAGGAATGTTGGCAAGATGAAGGCTGAACTTTGAATTACTTGGATTTACGTCTCCCTGTGATCAGACCAGTTCCATCTGATTAACTTTAGAACTAAAGGCAGTTTCTTACACAAAAGTATTTAAAGAAAAGTGCCTTCCACTCTAATTCCTGAACTGTGAATTAAACAGGCTGATTTTTAGGCCACAATACCTAGGAAACGTACTGCCATTCTGAGCACATCAAAAGATGGATCCGATAGAAAATGTAGGTGTAGGAAACAGATGTCTCAAACGTATGTGACAAAAGCCCGAGTCAGAGCTCTCGCGCCAGGTTTCCTCTCCATTTCACCTGTGTGACATGCCCGGCACAGCTACCGGCAGGTAACAGGTAGCCTCCGCCGCTGCTGGTGTCATCGTTAGAGAAGGCTCAGGAAAAGCCAAAGTGCCAATTTTGAGTTCTCCAGGCTGTTACAGAATTGGAGCTCCAGTGTCACCCCTGACTAGTTTCAAGTTCTGTTTATCGATCTCACTAAACAGGGGTGGCTTCGTTCACTGAGCTGGTCGGGTATGTTAGGCATGTGGTGCCACTGTGTGTAATTAGGGCCTTTGTTTTGTCCTTTGCCTCACACTTGAAGTGGAGAAATCCTTGGTGGCACAGCTCCGACTCCTGGAGTTTGAAAATACATGAATGCATTCTGTCACCCTTCGCCCAACTCACAAAAAGGAAACAGTGCAGCAGTAGCTGCAATGGACATTTATTCTAACAGGCAGTATGTTCCCACATTTTCCCCACTCAATTTGAAAAGCCTGGCTATGCTCGAAGGTATTCATTTGTTTCTTTAACACACACTGAGAATCTATGTGCTAGGTAATTGTGCTAAGCTAGGATACAGAGATGAGTGAGGGGGCCTGGCATTTCTGGAATTCTCTAAGAGGTAGATGCAGGGGCCAAAGCAGCCTTGGAGTTTTCAAAGAGCTTCTAAGACTTGAAGAGGTATGACAGTCCTCCCTTTCTAGTCCCCAAAAAGGGAATGTTCTTCCTGGAATTTTCCTCAGTCACTGAGATTTTAAGTACTTTTCTTTTTTTTAATTATTAAATATTTACTAGAAAGTCAGAGTTACAAAGAGAAGAGGACCTCTCTCTCTCTGCCTCTCCTTCTGCTGTTTCACTCCCCAACTGGCCGCAACAACGGCTAGAACTGCGCTGATCCAAAGCCAGGAGCTTCCCCCAGGTCTCCCATGTAGGTGCAAGGACCCAAGGACCTGGGCCATCCTCCACTGCTTTCCCAGGCCACAGCAGAGATCTGGATCAGAAGTGAAGCATCCGGGACTTGAACCAGCATCCATATGGGATGCCAGCACTGCAGGCGGAGTCCTTACCCACTATGCCACAGTGCCAGCCCCAAGTACTTCCTTTTCTGGCTAAGATTTGATCTCTGTACACTAGATATCGGATTCTGCTACTTATTGTTTTTTTTTTTTCAATTTATAGTATCTGAAGTCAAGACATTATATACATTTAAACATACACATATAATATATAAATAAATAAAACATAGTATATTAAAATTTTAACCAAATAAAAATCCCATGCACTTATATCCACTTCTCAACACAATTTGACAGTTGATAAAGTATAAATAAACTGAGCATTTAGCACCAGGATAAAGAAGAAAATGAATGAAGGGCAAATCATGTACATGATTGAAATGATTTTCTTAGGTCAGTTACTTGTATATATACTCCCTATTTCCAGATGACTTTGCGTTTTGTAGCTTCCACTTCACAAAGAAATAGTTACACAGTGCTCATCATTAACCAGTGAGGCTGGTAATGAAGCTCTCAGACCTGAAGCAACTGGAAGTCAATGGGAGTTGGCCAGAACTCTGAACGTGGCCTCCCTGGAGCCACTACTCAGACCTGTCCACTTGGCTGTTGACTTGATTACAACAAACTCAAATACAGTTTGCTTCAGACTGACCTTGCTGGCAAGAAAGCAAACACAAAATTGTCCCTGGCTCAGGACCGTGACTGTGGTGACGCCACACTTTCTTTTTTAAGGAGAGTTGAAGGCTTTGTCTTGACTCCTCATTAAGTACAGCCAACTATGTTATTATAGTTGCTTGGGATACAGACATTTGAGAAATAAGTTGATTTACTTTCCCCCCACAAGAATGTCATCTGTGTTCTAATTTTATGCTGTTTTTATAAAAGAACTCCAGGGATTTTCAGACTTTGTTGGCAGGCAGAAACTTTGTAGAAACAACAGAATTCTTAGCACGGCCTCAAGGGAAGCAGATGAGGCACCAAGCGTGGCTGATGCCAAGAACCTCGGGTCATTCAGAAATAAACATGGTTTCTTACATCACTTACAGCTACAATTAATATGGTTAAGCACGGTATTGTTTTTATCATCAAATTGGTATTCAGATTTCTCAAGGTTGGTTTGACTTAAAATCTGATTGTGATGGTAAATGTTCATATAAATCTAAAAAAATTCACACGCCATATATGACCATAATGAAAGATTGCTGAGAGCTGCTGTACAGGTTAGACAAGCCGGAGGTAACGCACACCTGCTCCTTGTGCTCCTCAGAAGCTAGACGGATGACAGAAGACAGAACCTGCAGTCAAGTGACCTTGCCTCCAACCCTGGTTCAGCACACCTAGCTTTGTGACCTTAGCTCAGGAGGTTTTTTCTGGATCTGTCCCCTCACCTCTCAAACAGATGAACAAGAAAGGAATAAACTTATTTAGTGGTATCAACGCTGAAGTGAGTTTGTGCTGTTCAAACATTTTGTAAACTGAAATATACCACAAAGTGCAATGCCTTATTGATATATGAACATTTACCATCAAAATTACATTTTAATGTGCCTGTCATTTAACATTACTCTTAGGAATGAAAATCATAGTCTTAAAAATAATGATCAGGTATAATTTTCAGTGTTCCTTTTTTTATCCTGACTTTATCTTAGATTTTGTATTTTTTAAATAAAAGCAAAATTTCTTTGAGTAAGGTGTATGGTAGAGAATCAAGTGTTTTAGTCAGGAAACACTTTCAAGTCAATTGAAATACAGTAATTAGTCTTCAACTAAAAATAGCCAAGTCATATAACAGATAAGAAGTGCCTGTGTGTGAGATAAACAGTGCTCCGCTCTGGAGGCTAAGATGCCCATCTTTGTATTCCACTGCCAACAGTGGGGCATGCATGAAGAGGTGTGTCCGTGAACGCTGAAGACTATGTAGCACTCAAGCACTAAACTTGTTATTTATCAGTATGAGGGTGAGGAGAAAGCTGTAGGTATTTTTCAGTGCCAAAAGCTTTCCTATTTCTATCAAATTTGGTCTTAGGTATAATTTAATGGGGACTTTTCAAGTATTAGGACTGGAAACTACCTTACTGAAGGCAGTATTTCATATTCTAAAATAAAGCCAAAGAACAATGCAATCTTGCTTTCTTATAGTTATGATATTGTGGTCAAGCTAAAAGCTCCTAGTACTTACCTCTTGTAATCTAAAAACAACAGGGATTTTCTTTTCTGTACAGGCAGCTATGAAGTTCTCAGGGAGTAACTGGTCATAAAACTCATCCGCTTTTCCTTGATCAATTAGTATGTCCAGCTGAGACCCTGTATAGGATTTCACAAGATGGGTAGCATCATAAGCCTGTAAAAGAGAAGAAGCATTAAAGAAATAATCTTAAAGTGTCCAGCAAAAGATTCCTCAGAATATACCATAGAGAACCAACAGAGCTTTAAAGTCATTTAAACTCCAAGGTTGATTAACTCAGAGTAAGCTGGCTTCAAAGTCTGACTTGCCAGGTTTTTATCTACATGGTCTTCAGCATTGTCTTCTAGTAACAGCCTCTTTGCCTCTTTCAAGCTGTCCAAAATCAGTGGCAAGAAGCCTGTGCCAAAAACATTCTTTACAGTATGGCCTTTCTTTTGTTCTAAACTTTCAAAATTGTGAATCACCTCTCACCTCCAATAAATCATGATTTTTTTCTTTTAAATCCTTCCACAAACTGGAAATCCAAAAATTTCTTCTAACTCCATTAGATCTTCTATTTCCAAATATTCGCTATTTCAAAGTCTCGTTTCTTTTTAACTCTGATTCCAGATAGGAACACATTCAGCCTTCTGTTTTGCTGTTCAATAGCTCTAAATCTCTGCTGTCTACATGCGTGTTCCCACAGGTCTCATTTAAATAATCTGAATGTCAACACATCAAATGTCTTATGTGAGGAGCTGCCACTAGTCACAATTTCACATTTTACCACACAATTTCAAATATTTGTGCATAATTATACACAAATACATTCACTAGCCACTACTTTTAGGCAGTGACTAAGACGAACAACCAGTTTTCCCTAAGTAATACGTTTTTAAAGACTGCTTCCGTTTATAGGTTCCCTCCTCCTTTCTCCTTTTTAAGATATAGTCCAATGAGCTCTCAATCCTGACTTCATAATTCTAGATGGCCTCCTTTTCAGCCGTAAATTAATACCCTAAACACAACACAACTAACATAGTAAAACATACTGTACTTGGAGAAATTACATAAGTAGATTCCTTTTTGGGTTACCTGTGCCTTTCCCTTTCCCACTCTCCCTCAGTTATCAGGTCTTTCGTCCAACACTTTGAGTGGGAGGGTGATTATCTTCACAAAGACCTCGGAACAGCACAGACTGCACAGGAAGCAGACTCAAAACCCTGATGGATGTGCATCGCCAGCTCCGAGTGCCTACCGCTAACCACTCGCAGCACTCTTCCTGTCGTAGTCACTCTGCCACTATGATACCATCTAAGCCTGAACAAGACGGTAATGTGGTGACAAAGGACTAATACTCTGAGTTGTTAGAATTCCAATGATCATCAAATGAAAGTAGGGATCCATGTGGAAATGACCCCGAACAGATAAATGCTTTAGGGCAAAGAAGTTGGTTTTAATCTGCTCACATATTTTCTACTCAACATACATGATGATGAGTTCACTTGCAAAATATTCCAACTCTTGGTGGCGTCTGCAAATGACCCATTTCTGGACAAGGGTAAAGTCAGAATGACTCTCATGAGAAAGGATTGTTTTTAATTCCATTTTGAAGCACCTATTCCCATGCTTGAAAAAGCAACCTTGCCATTGGTATTAGTTAAGTGTAGTAAGATCTACTTTTAAAGATTTTTCCAGGTCTGAAATTTAAAATCCAAATCTAAGAGATGCCGCATTTTGATACAGATACAACAGTTAAAAAGCCAGGTCTTTTGGTTCCTATTATACAACTGAACATATAGTTGATAGGAGGGAAGTTAAACAGCAATAATATGTGATTTTTTTTTTTTGGTTCTGTTAATTTAGAAAAAATATAAATTAGCAGAAAAAAACCGCTTAGGATATCTTCCATCTACCTACATATACACACATTCTCAGCTCTGAGGCCTTAACTTGAGCAGTCTTGGACTACAATGCTTGTGGTATGCAATATACCTTTTTAACAGATTAAAAACTGTTAAGAATGAGTATTAAGACAGTCATCCAGTACCTACCTTCCATTTGTTTTGGTCTGGTCCCAAAAATTCACCAAAGGCTTTTTTGCTCCAAACACAGAGCATTGGGTTGCAAATTGGAGCAAATGCTGACACAGACTTCAAAAACAAAAGAAATTTTGAAACAAATTATATTTTTGCTAAATCAAATATCGATACCTAAAACTTGCTTAAAACAGAAGTTACTGGTAGCTTGCTTAAAAACTGACTTGTCAGGAATAATTTCTTTTGATAATATTTTGGGCTTCGATTCTAAATCTTTCATAATATAATTTTTGTAGATGCTATCAAGAGCTAATAAATATAGGTGTTAAAATAATGCAAAACAGGGCCGGCGCTGTGGCTCACTAGGCTAATCCTCTGCCTTGCGGCACCCGCACACCGGGTTCTAGTCCCGGTCGGGGCGCCGGATTCTGTCCCAGTTGCCCCTCTTCCAGGCCAGCTCTCTGCTGTGGCCAGGGAGTGCAGTGGAGGATGGCCCAAGTGCTTGGGCCCTGCACCCCATGGGAGACCAGGAGAAGCACCTGGCTCCTGCCTTCAGATCAGTGCGGTGCACCGGCCGCAGCATGCCAGCCTTGGCGACCATTGGAGGGTGAACCAACGGCAAAGGAAGACCTTTCTGTCTGTCTCTCTCTGTCACTGTCCACTCTGCCTGTCAAAAAAAAAAAAAAAAAAAAAAGGCAAAACAACACATTACAATTTAAAGCATAAATGGAAATTTCTGTTCAGAGTTTCAACTTTGTTTTCTCCTAGAAGTTAATCTGTTGTAATATAAAACAATGCATGACTTTCATGAACACATTATTAAAATCTAAGACATTCCTTCCTTTAAATATTGCTGAGAAAACAGTAAGGAATGCTTCTAAATATAATCAAATTTTTAGTACATATATGTGCTTCTGTAAAATAAAGAATCTCTTAGCTCAGAGTACTTACCAATGTGTATGTTTAGCAATGTCCACTAGCATTTTTAAAGAGTAAAAAATTCAAATAATTTCAATGCTGTACCTCAGACACAAAAAAAATTGCATACAAAAACCCTAATTTAAATGAAAGGAAACCAACTATCATACCATAAAAGTATCTCACTTTGATAATATAGCTACTATAAGTAAAATATTTGGTACATCAAGAAAACACTATGAGAAATAGTCATTTTTCAATAAAAGATGAAGGGCTTCACAAGAGGAGAAATGGATTAAGGAGGTCTTGGTCAGGCATAGCCTTTAAAACACAGAAGCAACATGGAAATGATTATTTTTATTTCCTCATTTCAGCCCTTGTATACGCTGCCTCGCACATCACAACACCATACAAATGGTAGTTATCCAAACTTGGCTCACTGAATAAAATGTGGGAAGCCTCAAATAAAGAATGAGAGGCTGAGAATGACGTTTTTCAATCAAGCTGCATTTCAATTTTCATTAGAGGAAGGAAGAACACAGAATTCTTAATGTTCTATGAACCATGAGTATATATATTTTATTTGACAGGCAGAGTTAGACAGTAAGAGACAGAGAAAGGTCTTCCATCCGTTGGTTCACCCCCCAAATGGCCACTACGGCTGGCATGCCAAGCCGATCCGAAGCCAGGAGCCAGGCGTTTCCTCCTGGTCTTCCATGCGGGTGCAGGGCCCAAGCACTTGGGCCATCCTCCACTGCACTCCCGGGCCACAGCAGAGAGCTGGCCTGGAAGAGGGAGCAGCCAGCACTAGAACCAGCACCCCATAAGGGATGCCAGCGCCACAGGCGGAGGATTAACCAAGTGAGCCATGGCGCCGGCCCCATGAATATATTTTTCTACCTTAGAAAATCAAAATCCACTTTACAAAGAGATTTATTATAAAAATATAAGTAAGATTCTGCCACAATATCTTAATCAAGAGCAACAATCTTTAGGAGAAAATGTGCTCACAACTATAGCTTGAATAAAGGCAATGAAACACAAGCTGCATTTTATAACACTGCTAGTAAGCCAGCACGCAACACTGATGGGATTCCTGTACTACTGGTTCTGTAGCATACATGTGTGGTCAAATTCAACAACTTCCTCCCATACGCCCTACAATAGAAATGTTTAGTTCTAATACTGAAACAATTTCATAATTTCAATCTTCGGAAATTGCTAGTATTATATTTTCAAGCAATATTTAGCACTAGGAGCTTCAGGAATCTTACTTTGTACTTTCCAGGATTTTTCAAAGTGCAGATCAGAGCTCCATGGCCTCCCATGGAGTGGCCAAAAATAGATGTCCTTTGGGGGTCCACTGGGAAATTGGCATTTACGAGCTGGGGAAGCTGGAGGAAATTTAATAGCAGGAAAAAATATCAGAAAATCACTTCAAGGTTATATAATTACACAATCAATACCTCCAAATTAGTCTTACAATAGTTTGAACTAATAAAGGTGAAAAGTAAGGGAAAACATTTCCGGCAGAGAAAACAATTACTATATCCCTGGGAAATAAGAAACAGACTTCTTAGAAAGCAACTTCAGGAAGATGATGTACAAAGACCATTTAAAATGTTCTGAACTTTTGGCCTAACAATTTTACTTCTTGGAAATATATTCTAAGAAATATTCTAAATGGGGGAAAATCATGCACAAAGATAAACATTTCCAATATTACTACATTGCTTATTTTATACAATAAAAAACAGGATAAGGATGTTTTACAGTTACATGAAAATCACAGAAGAAATTCAGCAATATATCTAAGCATAATTGTTTGAGGGGTAAGAATTATGGATTAAGATTTTATAGGATTTAAATTTTTAATATATATTATGAAATTTAGGAAGGTACATGACTACACAACACCGTATTAATAGAAGTAATGGCTTTATCACTTATCCCTTCAAACTCAGCCTTTATCATCGTAAGACAGCTCTGAATAAACCAGCTGCTAGGGAAATGAAAGGGGGTTTCATATAGTATTTCCTTTGATAACACAGACCTCAAGGTAACTACAAAACGCTAAAATTCTACTTAGTATTAAATTGCAGTAAATTGGACTATAATACCAGTAAACTTGGGAATTTTCACTAAAATAATTTATAAAATTATACCAAATAGATTTACCAATAATACTACAGTTTAAAATTCTCAGGACAGGAAGAATTTGTGTCCAAAACCAAACTCTGGGCAGTCATCAGTTAATAATTACAATAGAAATTAAATTACCTCCTCTGTTACATAAGAGTACATCCTATAGTTGGTTTTCCACGGATCTTCAGTGGCATCCACATAAAATCCAGCACCAGTGCCGAAGTCCCAGCTGTCATCTTCTCCTTTAATATTGCAGCCACCTATGAAGGAATAATCTTGTGCTTTTTCTCTGTCACAAGTGTTCATGTTTAGTAACACATTTCTGGATGAATGTGAAAATCCATTTGCGTTAGAGCACTTCACCAAATACTGTGCACTCTCTGCCTTTTGGGACACATGGTAGGATTCTATTTCTTGGCCCCATGTGATGAGAAGGAATGACTTCCCACTGGAGAAGGCACGCAGCCTTCCTTGGTAATGCAGTTTCCTTCTAAGTACTCTGAATATGCGTCTCTGCACCGTCTGACCTGTCGGAACTGGCACTCTCTTTATTCTTCGCGACAGTGTTGAGATCCCTTCCCTGATGACCCTCCCTCACTACCAACACTTTAGTTCGCTTTACCACTATGGTCTTAGCAGGCAAGAAATGCACAGATCTGTGCTCAGTTAGGTATCCTGAACTGAACACATCCCTTAATGTGCTCTGGAATCATTCCATTGTTTTCCTTACATATCCCATTAAGATTTTCAAATTCGTTTTTAAATTGACTAGTTTTTATTTTATACACATCTGCATGTGATTACAAAGCCAACCTCTGGGATATTTATCTGAAAGGCAGAGGAGAGTGAGCGCACACAAGAGGCAGCAGAGGGAGGTCTCCCATCCACTAGTTCACTCCTCAAATGCCTGCAACAGCTGGTACTGGGCCAGGCGGAAGCCAGGTGCTGGGAAGTCAATCAGGGTCTCATGTGGGTGCCCCGACCACCTGAGCCATGACCTCCTGCTGGAATGGAGAGCAGAGCCAGGGCGCGAAACCCGGAGTTTCTGAATAGAATTACAGTCTCATGTATTTTGAGGGCAGTTATTCTTCATAATATACAATTACTCAACTAGGAACCCAGCATTTTCTCACTTATTAAAGTCTTCACTTATGATCTCTAGCAGAATTTGTTTTCTCTTTATGCATATACATATTTTTAAAGTTTATTCCCGGTACTTTACACTTTTGATGCTATTTTGAATTAAATTATTATTCCATTTCTAACTAGACATATCTTCTGTACCACACAGCCCACGACCAACAGACACTTGAGAAAATACTCAGGATCACTAGCCGTCGGAAATGCAAATCAAAACCACAATGAGGTTTCACCTCACTCCAGTTCAAATGGCTCACATACAGAAATCAATAAACGACAAATGCTGGTGAGGATATGAAGTAACAGGTACCCTAATCCACAGTTGGTGGCAATGTGAACTGGTGCAGGCACTGTGGAAGACAGTATGGAGATACCTCAGAAATCTGAATATAGACCTACCATATGATCCAGCCATCTCACTTCTAGGAATTTACCCAAACCAAAAGTAATCAGTATCTGAAAGTTATTTGTACTCCTGTGTTCACAGCAGCACAATTCACAATAGCCAACATATGGAATCAACCCAAATGTCCATAAGCTGATGTCTGGATAAATTATGGTATATATATACTATGGAGTACTACTCAGTTGTTAAAAAAAAAAAAATGAAATCCTGTCTCCTGCAACAAGATGGTTGCAACTGGAAACTATTATGCTTAGTGAAATAAGCCAGTCCCAAAGACATACCATGTTTTCCCCATCAGAGGTAATGAATAGAGTACCTGAAATATAATGTATTGAAGTAAAAGACATTTTGATAATCAATGATGGTTTATAGCCCTTGTGTCTTTCTTTGAGGAATTGTACTTTGTTTTGCTTTTTGTTTTCATACTATTTGTTGAACTTTTACTTAGGGTAGCATTAACTATATGATCATTAAGTATATTAAAAAAAAATCACTGTAAAAATTAAAGGTAGGAATATGGGGGAGGGAAGGGTTGGAGCATGGGTGGAAGAGAGGGTAAGGGGAAGTACCACTATGTTCCTATAGCGGTACAAAGGAAATATATGACACTTGTATAACAAATAAAATCTATATAAAAAATACACATTAACCAAAAAAACAAAAAAACCAATATGGCCCATAAAAGGAAATACAATACTTCTAGAGGCCAGCCCTTTTACTTGGCCACCTTTGGCGACTATGTAAATTCTACCTCCTTATACTTTCAGAGTCAACAAAACCGCTGGGCTGAGTTCTCAAATACTTGATATTTTCATGTCTCTAAATATTCTAGTCATTTACATTAAAACTCATGTTTATTTAAATGTATGATGAACAAGGATAAAAAAAAACATGAATTATGTGAATAAGGCAGTTTTTCTATGCTATGCACTGCACATTATTACTTTTACACTAGCACCAAAATGATGTATGAGTTGAGCTTCTTACTCTGGAAGTATCTTCATCTGTTAAATGGCTACAGAGAAACTAACTGCTCAAGGAAGCCATGTCAAAAGTAAAATGCAGTGAGGAAAAGCTGCAGCACAGTGTTTGAGTTATGTTACTTGAAAACAGAAGATTACAGAATGCATAAGTATATTATACCACTTATAACAGTCTTTAAGATTGAGAGTTTAGAAAGGATCTTTGAACAAGAACACTTACGAGGGCTGGTATCTGGAGCGATGACAATAAGGCCATGTTCTGAGGCAGCTTGCTGAAAGCCAGATTTTGTTATAAAATTTTGTTCTGTGCAAGTCAAACCTGAAGATCAAAAATACCATTATTTCATGCTATAATGGGAATGGCTCTTAAGCTTTATTCCTCTTTTAATAAAAATCTTTCCTTAGAAATGATTTTGGGTAAGACATTCCAGATCCTTTTCAACAAAATTTATAATAGTATCAACATAAGAACTGTCTTAGGCTAAGCTAGCTTATAACCAGGCTATTAAAGTCACTTACTAGTTTCAATTTCAAAACACAAATATTCATAGGGAGCTAACACTATGGCCATCATAACACAAATAACTGAATATTCTTAACAGACAGTTCTCAGCACTACAATTCAGCATGATCATTTTTGTATTCCTCAACTAAAATGAGATAAGACCATTATATCTTCCTTAAACTGAGCTTTGGCCCCAATTTTTAGAACTGTTTGTCATTTTTCCTACTTCTATGCTTTTTCAGTCATGTAATAAAGGAGAGGACTTAATTCTCCTTCTATACGTACCTAATGTAAAAATGTGAGAATCGCCAAAGAGGAACTAGCAGTGGGTGCCTGAGTGAAATACCACCAAACACAACAGCCCTTTTCACGTGGCCAAGGCCAGATACTCCCCTGCATCTGATGATTAACATCAAGGTTGCTGATAAGCATGATGCAATTATGAATTAAAGAACATCTTCACAGTTGTTAATTATTCCCTAATAACCAACACAGAGACTTATGAAGAAGCTGACCTTAAACATTTTTAAGATTCGTACATGAAGTCTCAAGTATCACTAGACACAGTATCACGGGAGTTTATGGTTAAATTCTGTTAGGACATAGCAGACTTTTCCCAGTCATGGCAGACATAGTCATTGTTTGCCCACCACGTTCCTTCCTGGTACACTCTTTCAGAGACTTCAGAATCATGGTGGTGAACTACTCCAAATACTGACCAAAGACCAGCCACTCTGCAGACCTTAGCGTGAATGTGTTCAAAGGAAGCAGGATCAATAGTCCAGAAAACACGAGTTTTGGATTTCAGACAGGATCTGGTCCTAGATGCCACTCAGTCACTTAAAAACTAGCCATCTGGATTATTATGAGCCTCGGTTCTTTCATTTGAAAACCAGGGATCATATTGTCTATTGTTACCTCAAATGGATCAGTAAATGTGATGACAAATGTAGTCCCCTGAATTGTATCTGGGACATAGAAAATAATGTCTCACACTTGAGAAATGCAAATTTATTAGATACTACAGGAAAATTTGTGGACTTTTTTTCTAGTTAGAATACAGTTTTGTTGATTAAAGTAGATGGGAATGAATTATATTATAGAGTGAATTTAATTCCACTAGAAGTTATTCCTAAAACCATGTAGATGGCTAATTAAATTCTGTTGGACCAACTATGATTATTTTACATGAAGTATCTGAGTAATTTTATACATAATTTATCCCCTTAAGTGTTCAATCATAATTATGCAAATATCACCTCCATCTAACTTGTAACATTTTCATCACCCCTAAAAGAAATCCTGTACCCTGTTTCATAATGTGGTTGTTATGATTCTCTTTTTGCAACGTTTGCTTCAAAAGATGAAATAGCAACACCTTGTGAATGAAAGGTCAGTATAGATGCTCAAAACTATGGGTGTCAATATTACTGTCTCCCAATCTATTTCTGTAGCCTTTAATATTAACCACAGATGGAGAAGCCTTAAGGTTCCCAGATTGTTGCCAGAGAAGCTCTATGGAGTTCAGTTAAAATATTCTAGAGAACATTTAAAAAAGTTACTTGTCTGATTTCTACCTGAGGTTTCATGGCACCCCAGTTTCATCTAATGTCATCCTATTTGACTGGAAAGGTCTATTCAAACTCCAGAAATGCCTGGGTAGGTACAAACTCATAAATAATTTTTCCAAGCCCTTGCGATTGAATCCAAAGCTTCACATTCTCTGTTAAACCAATTGCTCTAATTGAAAAAGAAAGAAGCAAAGTAAATGTAATTCAGGCCATCTACAGTTATTCTTAAAGTAACAGAGTTGACCATGATAGGCCTCTAAATCTTTTGTCAGTGGTTCAGAGTGCACACCAGTAACTTAAAATAAAAGGGCAAGATAAGCCAGTTAGAAAGAAAAAAGAAACTCTTTTACAAAACTCAAATGCATAATACTTACCAGACAGAAAATACAATACAGGGCACTTTGCAGATTCTGCCTTTGGTGGCAGGTAGACAGCAAATTTCATCTTGCATTTCAATTCAACACTGTAATTTAATAACAAAATATGAATGCCATTCATCAATCAAACACAAGTAATTAGTCTCTATAAAAAGACATCCAGAAAGGTCCAAAGCAAGCGATTTAATGCACAAAATAAGTGATTATGCCATTTAGGGAATATACTTTGTCACTTAAAACAAACAGCTGCACAGAACTCTGGGAAGATCTGAGATCTTATCTGATTTTAAAAAAACTCATCTTCCTTTTTCTGAGGTCCATTTTTACCCACACTTTCAGGTGTACCTGGTGCCCCCACGTCCTAAGGCTTTGTATAAACTGTCATTTCACAGCTCTTTCTTGCTAGTGTTTAAAATTCAGCTTTCTAGTTTTACTAAGTCAGGGACTACTTGTCCATCTGTATTTCTCTCAAATATTGTCGTTGGCTCTGTCTCTCATTTCCTTATTTATGCATTTGCAAATAAATGTGTGTTTGTGTTTAATCGCTTTACTTAATTACATGTTAGTCAATCCTCTGGGAGGCAATAGAGAGGCAAATGCATGTGTTTAATCTACCATCTTTATCAAGGAGTTCATGTAGGAAAGAAACCCACAGAACATGTTCTCAGAATTTATTTTATTTATTTATTTATTTATTTATTTATTTATTTTTTGACAGGCAGAGTGGACAGTGACAGAGAGAGACAGAGAGAAAGGTCTTCCTTTTGCCGTTGGTTCACCCTCCAATGGCCGGCGCGCTGCAGCCGGTGCATCATGCTGATCCGATGGCAGGAGCCAGGTGCTTCTCCTGGTCTCCCATGGGGTGCAGGGCCCAAGGACTTGGGCCATCCTCCACTGCACTCCTGGGCCACAGCAGAGAGCTGGCCTGGAAGAGGGGCAACCGGGACAGAATCCGGCGCCCTGACCGGGACTAGAACCTGGTGTGCTGGCACCGCAAGGCGGAGGATTAACCTAGTGAGCCGTGGCGCCGGCCTGTTCTCAGAATTTTTAATGTAACACAGGCATTTTCACAGATTTACAAGACCATCAAGTGAAACACAAGGACAGTCTTTACTCAGGCTCCCCACTACCTCATACCGTGAAGTCCATAACTCATCAAATTGAATGAAATTGTCAGATGATGAGACAGAGCACACAAAGGATTGAAAGTGACACGAGATACCCTAAACATGATGACTAGCTTAAAATCAAAACAAACAGCAACATAAAGTGAGAGAAATCTAAATCTGTTCTTAACAGTTACCTGTCATGTTCAAAAACTTTCTGGAATCCTCCAAAGCTCTTGCTGCTGGAAACCTGTTTCAACGCCATTCTCCTGGTAGTGAAGATTAATCTGGTTAATTCTAGAGCACTGGTTCCTGAAAAGCTGGAAACCAAACTGATCACTGTAAGATACCCTCCAGAACATAGAGCTGGTTTCCACAGTACCTTCGTGTTCCATCACTCATTAACAAGTTTGGTGGTTGTTGTGGACTGCCCAAATTCTCTGCAGATTTCAAGGTACTAATTACTTACCTCAGACATTAAGACATTAATAGGCAGCCTGTCAACTGCAACAAAAGAGTCAAGGACTTGGGCTAATCATGGTTGTTTTTTTTTTTTTAAATATTTATTTTCAAAGAGTTACAGAGAGACAGATCGGTTGATCTTCTACTGCTTTTCCCAGGCTACCAGCAGGGAGCTGGACCTGAAGTGAAGCGGCTGGGACAAGAATGGGTGCCCAAATGGGATACTGGCATTGCAGGCCAGTAGCCTTACCCATTATGCCACAACACCAGCCCCATAGTCATGGTTAATTTTAAAATGAAGACAGATGATATGACAATATTGATTCTAACAGATAATATTATTGAACACTTATGGTGACAGGTATTCTTTTATATGCTAAACCAGATCAAATTGTTCAACCTCTGAGAGGTTTTGAGAGAAAAGTGTTACACAACTTTTTAGATAAAATTTTCTCCTTTGATTTAAAATCAAACCAACAGTTAAAACATAAACCTGCTTTAAGTGAAATAAAAGTCACTGGGAAATTTGGTGACTAATTTCTCACCAACAAACCTTTTCAATTTTCATATAAGTTATTTTAAACTGACATGGAAAAATACCACACATTACTTTTTAAAACAAAAATACCTCGAAAACCATCTTTATCATCAGTGTCTGTTGAACAAGGGAACTACACTGACTGACTCTGATGTGTGCCTCTCTAGCATTTCTTTCCCATTCCTACAAGCACTGCATTGAAATATAAAGCAGGAAATCCTACACACCAAATAAATAATGGGCACTGCCATTCTCGGGGTCTTCTCGGGGAAATGTACTAGCATATGCTGATCAGTTGCAGATCGAGGATTATTCTTACAACCATACGTAACAATAATCTTTAAGAAATAACGTTGGCTGTATCTTCGTAAAATTTTTTTTTTGATTTTTTTAACTTTTATTTAATGAATATAAATTTCCAAAGTACAGAATATTCATTACAATGGCTTCCCCCCCATAACGTCCCTCCAACCCACAACCCTCCCCTTATTCATTCCCTCTCCCCTTCCATTCACATCAAGATTCATTTTCGATTCTCTTTATATACAGAAGATCAGTTTAGCATACATTAAGTAAAGATTTCAACAGTTTGCTCCCACACAGAAACATAAAGTGAAAAATACTGTTTAAGTACTAGTTATAGCATTAAATCTCAATGTACAGCACACTAAGGACAAAGATCCTACATGAGGAGTAAGTGCACAGTGACTCCTGTTGTTGACTTCACAAATTGACACTCTTGTTTATGGCATCAGTAATCACCCTAGGCTCTTGTCATGAGCTGCCAAGGCTATGGAAGCCCCCTGAGTTCACTGACTCTGATCATTTTTAGACAAGGCCATGGTCAAAGTGGAAGTTCTTTCCTCCCTTCAGAGAAAGGTACCTCCTTCTTTGATGACCCATTCTTTCCACTGGGATCTCACTCGTGGAGATCTTTCATTTAGGTTTTTTTTTCCCCAGAGTGTCTTGGCTTTCCATGCCTGAAATACTCTCATGGGCATTTCAGCCGGATCCACATGCCTTAAGGTCTGATTATGAGGCCAGAGTGCTGTTAGGACATTTGCCATTCTGTGGGTCTGCTGTGTATCTTCATAAAATTCTAAGTCAGAACAGCTTCAATGTTATCTTTAATCTCTTCAGTAAATCTGAATAGTTTTATAATGGGGAGCCTGAATTCTAACCCAAGAAATCTGACATCAGAGCCTCTGCCTTTAGCTACTATGCTGGCTGCCTCTCTAAAGGATCTTTAAATATGCTTAAAAAGAAAAAAAGAGACCCTCCAAAAGTAACCAATTCTATAGGACATTTCTTCCACAGAGAGATTATCCTCTGTTCATAGGTGTTTTATGTTTTTAATTTTTTCCATTTCTTTTTAAAGACTTATTTATTTGAAACACAGAGTAACAGATCTTCTATCCACTGGTTCACTCACTTCCCCAAGGCCGACAACAACCAGGGCTGGGTCAAGCCAAAGCCAAGAACTTAGGAACTCTGTCCAGGTCTCCCCCATGGGTGGCAGAGACTTGAGTATCGGAGACATCATCTGCTGTCTGCCATGCACAACGGCAGGAAGCCAGATGGTTAGGAGGGGAGGTGGGACTTGATCCCAGGTACTCTGAAATGGGATGTGGGTGTCCCAAGGGGCTACTTGACTTGCTGCACAACGGTCACCCGCGGTTTAATGGGTTTTTAACGTATAAAAGCAAAATTGCTCCATAGATGTTATTAAATATTTTATATTAACTTCAGTTATTCTTGTTTATGATTGTACCTTCAATAATGAATATAGATACTGTATAATTTTAATATATATGCACATGACTCCAAAGAATAAAATTTGCTATGTTATTTCCTATTAGGAATTATGTCTGCTTACCCAAAACGTGGTATACTGAGCATGTGTCTGGTACACAGGAGGTTCCTAATAATTATCTGTTGAATTAATGAATAATTTTTTAAATTTCTAATTATGTGAAACTTAAAAAAATTTAGGTTGTCCTTTTATTTCTATCATTCTGTACTGTTATTCATCTGCTTTAGAAAAACAAAATAATCCATTTCCTCTGCTCTTCGAATGTTTCTAAATTAAAATTAAAAAGCAAGTATTTTTCATTTGTCCAGAAAAGGCAAAATTAAAATACTTTTTTTAAATTGTGTAATGCCTTAAAAATTTTTTAAGTTTTTTTTTCTTCACCCAACCAACCGTTTTATAAACTACTTTCAATTACAAATCAAGAAAAAATGTTAAGCTTCACCAAAAAAATGACATAAGGTAAGAACTAGATAGGATATACTTTTATATATTATGAAATACTAGGTTGTTATATTTTTCAGTAAGTCGTCAATATGAAAAATAATAGCTATTTAAAACCAAATTAGGTTGTTTTCATTCAACTTTCAGAGTAATTCATAAACAGTAGAACTTAAATTTACCTGATTCTTTTTTTTTTGTCTGCACCACGGGCTGATGATCCTGGGGGAAAAAAAAAAACCAGTATGTACAAATGGGATATACTTAACACAGCGAAAATCAGACAGAGGCTCTCCACACAATGCATTCTACATGAAGACACGTTCCTCTTCTGAGGCTGGTGACTATCTACCCTGGACACTGCAGCACCCATCACCACTTCACCTTGGCTCTAAATTACCTTTGTGGCCTCAAGGCCTGGGGCTTAGTGAGAAACCTTTGCTGGGATAATGAAGAAATTGTATTTCTACTGTCAAGTAAATTAAAAATAGTCTCAAACTGGTATTTAGAAGTATGAGATGTAGTTGACAACTGAGAGTAAAGGAAACAGGAGTGGAGAAGAGGAAGGGCAAGGAAGATAGCTCTACCTGGCTCTGAGCGAGAGGCCAAACTTACCTAAATGTGGGAAGGAAAAGGTGGGAGAGACAAGGCTGGAAGACCTCTGGGCTGACTGACTAGAAAGGACATGCTAAGAACACAGGCTAGGCTCATGAAGACGGCTGAGATGAATGATACAAAGTAAAAAGAGAGGTACATGCATATGTAGAAACTGACATGTATTTTTTTTTTATTGGCATGTCTTATATAGGTTCTACTCAAGGTAAACAAGTGTATTTAGTTTCTAACATTGTGTGGCAGCAACAGGGTGATAGAGTTGGGTAAACAGCAAAGAACAAAACAATCTCTGCACCTGCCACACCAAAGACCCCAAAGACTTTTTCAATACCATGAAGGAATTACATAATTTTTCTAGAAAGTTAACACTAATATTCTTTGGGAAAGAAAACATGTTCTTAGAACATGATACACATGAATGGTCAAAAACCATTAAAGCCAATCTGGTTAAATAAAAAAAAGGAAAGTAAGTCATCTTTATTTACAAAGCATGCATTCCTAAAAGGCCAAATGGTCCAATCTAACTGTTCTCTTTAATTTCAGAAGTGACCAGAAATCTGAGTTATTTCTATTTTTACCTATTCTCTCCTTCTCCAGTCTCCAGTTTCCTATATATATTTCTGCTTGTATTTTTTGTCCTCATTTCCTCAGATGCCTTGGATTTTGATCCATGTCTTCAATGCCAGTGTATCCCACTCCACTGGCTCTTAACAACCTGGACAAAACCAGTGGATGGCAACGCAGCACCTGACGTTGCAACCACTGCCTCTTTGTTCAAATCCTCCTCGGTCAAACTCTGGGGCTCCCCCTCCCCATCTTCCTTTCTTCTACTCTTCCCTAACCCCCTCACCTACATTCGACTGCATTTTCTGGGTGGAAGAATCTAAATCTGCACCTTCCTATCTAATCTTCCTCCACATTAGTGCCAGAAATGGAACTTCTTGCCGGAGCTTTCTGGCAAGGTATGTGAAGGTATGTTCACTCGCGAGCAAAATTCACCCAATCTAAAATCAAGCCTTTACATCTCCCGCCGTTAAACGTTTCTTTTGTTTGCCTCTATTTGCCGGACCCATGCTCTTCTTGTCAAATCTACATTGCAAGAATCCTGAAGTGATCTTTTGAATTCCCAGTGCCATCATCCTAATTATGCATAAGAAATTGAATTAAAACTTTGATTCCTCGTCTTTCTAGCAGTATGTCCCACTATAACCACTTCTGCATGAAAACACAGGGTTCTAATCCATATAAACCACTACTATCCCTATGAAGAGATCTTGGGGCCTAACTGAACTGAGCCTATGGTGCTTTGAATGTAGATGCCAGGCCCCATCAACTCTTCATCTCCCAAGGTCTCCTCAGCCTCCCTCCATTAACTTAGTGTACTTGCTCTGTCTTGGCTTAGCAAATCAACCACTTACTAAAATCTCGCTGAATTGAGGGAGTGGTGCAGCAGCACCCACAAAGTTGAATCCCTGGACTCAACAGTTCTTTAGTTTCTCTAACAGTTAACTGTCGCTCCCCCTCTTCGTGGAGGAACGACACAGAGTCCTGCCTAGGCTTCATATCCGAGTCACGGCACCATTATGTCGCTCCCCCTCTTCGTGGAGGAGCAACACAGGACCCTGCGCTGTTCTTTCGTCTGCTCGGCCCTCCCCGGGTTTGCTGCTGGTTCTTCCCGGGTTGGCTACTATCCCTTCCACCTCCGTGGAAGGGCAGTTCCCCCTGGCCGCATTCCCCACTTCCGCAGGGGAGCGGCACACCGCCGGCCGGCTTTCTTCGGGGGCTGCACGGGTTCCCTTAGATGTTCCCCATAGATGTTCCTGGTGCATGCCATCTCTCTCCTCCTTTATAGTCCTCCTCCGCCAATCCCAACTCGGCTGCCCACACGCCGAGCACGCTGCCCTCCAATCAGGAGCAAGTCCTACAGTTTATTAGTTGAACTGGAGGCAGCTGTGCGGAAGCTGTTTACTTCTCTCCCAGCGCCATATTGTGGGAGAGCAGATGCATAGAATAAGTCTTAATTCGAGTAACTTAGTCTAGTCCGGATTGCTCCCCACAGTTAACACCTTCATGTTCTGCCTGGTCTCAAGGGTTTCTTTTCCAGTAACTTCAGGCCTGGAGCCCTCAGTAGACTGAAGCCTACTCTGACATAATCAAAATTCTCTAAAGGACGAAATTATTGCTGACTAACTGAAGGAGGGTCACACGCATGTCAAAGCAACTAGGAACCTGGGCACTAGCAAAGTATGGGCCTCTCAAGCCCAACTTGAACCTGTAAGACCCTGTCCGTGTTACCCCTGGCTGGCGGGGGCCAGGGACTGAAGCCGTAGCTGCCTGACTCCTTGCTCTGCACTCTACAACAAACATTTCCTTTCCTCCACTAGCCTGATGTCACTGATTGGCTTTCTGCACGTTAGAGGAGAGGACCCAACTTGGGGGGTTCTATAGCAATTCCTCCAACCAGTCTGAGGGCTGTTCTGTGGTGTAACATGGCCTCCACAGAACTATTATTCATTTTTATTTTTAAAATTGTGATAAAATAACATTTACTGTCTTAACCATTTGTAATTACCTATTTCAGTAGTGCTAAGTATATAATTTAGTCATTTTTAAAAGAAACAGGATTAGCTAGCCCAAATTAATCCGCAAATAATAAATGTTTGACCACACCCTGGCTGTGACAGGTTTAGCCAGCTAATCTGACTTGGCCATCAGACCAGTAGTTAAGAACCAGTAAGTCATGCAAATTGAAGACAATGCAGTCAATTATATAATTTTCTTGATGTTTGATGCCTTTACACTTTCACAAAGTCCAATCTATGAAGGAGTGCTGACAAAAAGGCAAGGACAAATGAAGTCCCAAATATCTTTGTCACATTTTACCTAATTTACCTATTGCTAAGCAGTGTCTTCCATAAAAGTGCACAAGGCCTGATCACTGACCAACATCTAATCCACTGTGGGGAAGGACGGCATCTGTCAACTCTGAATACTTTCACCTGGCTCTAAGATCTGAATTTTGGGCCCGACCCTATTTTTCTGGTCTCCCCTTACTTCACTCGAATCCAATGACATATCATTCCAGGATGGCCTGGATGTTTCTACTGGGTGGCTGTCCCTGAGGCCGCTGTATAACGGTCTCTGCACAGGTTCTCCAACCAGATCCTCGAGGTCAAATTCCGGTTTTACCACTTAACTGCCACACGAATTTGGGCAAGCTATTTAATCCAAGGCCTCATTTCCCCGTCTGCAAAATGGGTATATAATCTATCGATTTGCTAGGGCTGCTCCAGGAATGAAAGTTCATTCATGCTTGCTACAGGCAGCACATACACGTTAGTTTTCCTGCAGCCAGCAATGCCATCTCCACGAGGATCCCAAAAGAAACGCCCCCAAGCCCGTCCCGACACACCTCTGCGGGCACTTTACACCCCTGAGACTTCGCGGACCGCGAAGATGGGGCATCCCGGTCTGCGGTCCCCGGGGTGCGCCGCTGACCGCGCCCCCGGGTCAAGGTCGCCCCCCCCCCCCCCGAGAGCAGGGCCCAGGGCTGCCGGCCAGCCAGCGGCGCCACCAATGCTCCGAGGGGCTGTGCGCGCCCCGGCACGGGCCCAGGAGGCGGAGAGGGGCTGGCCGAGGGGCTGGCACGAGAACTACGCCAGCCTCCCGTGCGGCGCAGAAGCACGCCCGAGCGCCCCGGGTGACTGGCGGGCTCAGCGCAGCAAATGGGATTAGGAAGCGAGGCGCGCGCCCCGGGCCGGGATCGCTGTCCCCACGTCCAGCCCGGGAACCTTCAGGGCTGCAGGCCTCGGCGTCCGTCCCCAGAAGGCCCTACCGCGTCACTGTTGCAACCCCAGGCTCAGGCGGGCCAAGGACGTCCAGGTGTTTCGCCAGGATCGGGTCTTACCTGTAGCGGAAGCCCCGGTGCAGAAGCAATGGAGCCGTAGGGAAGGGCTGGGAGTCAATATGGCCACGGGGGACCAGGCCGGCCCCGCCCACACTAGGCCCCACCCCTCCCCGGGCCCGCCCCCTCTCGTCCGAACGCTGCGGCCGGGTCCTCCTTCGGCCCCGCCTCCTTCTCCAGGCGCTTCCCGGCGTCCTCCGCGTGGGCGGCCGCCCCTCCCCCTGCCCGTCTCGTTCTCCCTCCTCCCCGCGTGGTTGCGTCAGCAGCGAGGCGGGCGTTTGAAGCTGGAAGGGTTCCCCTGCTGCGGGGTCAGCTAGCGGGGCGCGCCCACAGGAGGCCGAGGCTTTAATAAAGCTGAGGTCTGGCTTCGCTTAACTCGTGGAAAGGGTTTATGGTTATTTAGAAACCAGGGCCCCCAACTTGGTATCTGCGTGAAACAGGAGGCAATTGGAATCGCCGGTGGCCGGGCAGGTGGTGGGAACCCTCTCCACGTCCTGGTTTTAATTCTTCCCTCAGTAAAAGCTGACCTGAGAGTTGCTGGTTATTGCAAATCGTCCCTTCATTCTATTCTTGGCTTCTCCGATTTAACCAAACTTATCCCAAAGAGCTAAATGTGTCCACCAGTGTTTGTAGGAACAAGTGGTTGGAATGCCAAGTTGTAAACAGGCACTTTGTTCTGACTTGCTGGGCAGACAACTTGTGTGTCTAGGGCTGCTGATGGGAAGGGCTGCACGCTTGGGTTGGTCTCTCAAGAGTTGTTGAAGGCGAGCTCTGCGTTTTCATGTTCTGTAGGACCTTGCGGGTTTTGGAGCTGATTTTGCTGAGTAAGGGAACCTGTCGGCTAGCATGAATGAGCTGCCATCAGATGATGTGTCGAATCTGCTGTGTGCCGCACGTCCTTGCCATAAATGCCTTTTAAACCGAACTAACCTGTGGCCTGCATCTGTGGGCCTGTGGATACACTGAGACTCAGGCTGAAAACAATGTATATGCAAAACCACGTTTTTGTGAAAGCATTGACGTAAAAGGTTTTTAGTTCCTTTTTTGCTGATTTAAAATATAAATCACTGAAGAGTGGATTTTCCTCAAATTGAGTTTCACAGCTAAAACGGATCGCAGTTTGGATGTTACCATTTCCTTAGAACTGATGAATATTTGAGCAAAGTTACAGATGTTCATTTAATAAATTGATGCCTGTGAGGTACAAACTAGCCTAAGATCTGTAAGTGTGAAGTCCTTTTACTAAAGGGTTAGTGTATTAACACAGTGTGATAATAATCAGAACTGAAATTTCTTTTACCCAGCATAAATAAAAGGATAACATCCACAACATCTATTTCTTTAAATTAGTAGGAGTATATTTTTTATTTGCATAGAAGGGCAAACTAAGCTGAAATCAGAAATTAAGGATGACATTTCAGATAATGAAACGTAATAAAAAGTGAGTAAATATTAACTACCAAGTAAGTGACCCAAAATTAAATTTATGGCTGAGAAGAGTTAGGGACTATCAGTTTGCACTATAATGAGTCAGATGTGATCTTAGGTAGGCAACAAAATGATACAATGAAAGTGAAAGAACCCAAAACCAGGTGAAGCCTCTGGAAAGGAAATTGTCTTAGGCTCAGCTGCTGTAACAAAAATCCTAGATATCGGGGTGGCTTAACGGAAATCTATTCTTCACGTTAATTTATTTGTCCCAATTCTGAAGGTTGTAAGTCCAGTATGAGCTGTGGGCCTTTCTGTTACTGATGAGAGCTCTCTTCCTGTTAGGAGAAGTGATGCATTCTTGTTCAACCCTCACTTGACAGAGTGAAGGCAAGCTCTGGTCTCTTCGTCTTTCAAGGAAAAAGCACTAGTGCCATTGACAAGGACTCCAGTCTCATTCCTCCTGAAGTAATTACCTCTCCCAAAGGGCTCACCTCCACATTCTGTCACATTATAGATTTAGGTATCAACATGTGAGTTTCGGGAGACACAAACCTTCAGTCTAGAGCAGAGATGATTCTCAGCAAGTCTAGAAACGGTGTTGTACATGGAGAATGACATCATGTACTGACTGTTAGGGATGCTGCTTGAGAAGTGGTTTTACAGCTTTTCTATAGATAAATCAAGGTTTCTCAGTGTTGGCGTTGGAGCTAAATCATGCTTGGTTGTGGGAGGCCATCTTGCACTTTGTAAGCTGCTTAATAATATCCTTGCCCTCTACTGGCCAGACACTACTGGCACCTCCAACATGCTTGCATACCCAAAATGTCTCTAGAAATTGATAAATGTCCACTGGTGCAGCGGTGAGGAAAGGGTGGCAAAATCAGCCCTAGTTGAGAACCATTGGTCTTAATAGGTGTTTTCGAAAGCTCCCTTTATTTTGATGGTATTCTCACCTAGAGACATTTCAGAAAAGAATAGCCTCACTTGTTATTTAATAAATCAGAATGTAGCTTAATAATGCCTTGGTCTCAGGTGACTCTAGTTGGAATGATAAATTTCCTAAGAGACTTATTTTTTCTGAATGTGATGTTTACTTAATAAAATTGAGTTTCTGAATGTGTACTCCTCTGAGGACCAGACTTTGGACCTTGGCAACTCAACCAAGTATTGCAGCCTTGTAGCCCTATGCCAGTGTTCTTTCTTAACTTTATAGCAACTACAGAGCAAACTAGAATAGACAATACAGACAGACCTTAACAGTAGTTGTTTCCATCTCCTATTCACTTTGCAAAGATCCAAATTTCATGCATTGATTTCCATTTTATTTTTCTGGTGTTTTTTTTTAACTCCTTTAAATTCTAATTCCTACAGTTCTTTTTACAGTACATTCCTAGTATCTGTTGCTCCTTCTGTGTCTCCAAAAGGGCCAAAGGTTAAAATGTAACTGACACAGAACAAGAACTTAGTATTAGCCATTGTTATTCTTTCTGTTAACAGTACTAAAATTATAAATTTCTTCCTGTCCAAAGAGACTCTTTCCTAGTCTCTGCTCTACGACAGTATACTTTCACTTTTGACTCTTACATATTTGTTGGTTTTCAGTTTCTTGGTTTATTTACAAAGTCTCATTGGACTAAAATGGTTGTTAGCCATTTGTTAAGCATTGGCACACATGGGAACGGACAAAGGCCAGTTGACAACTTGTTTTGGTGAAAGTTAATTAGTTAAATACTCTCCCCCACATGGTAGTCATTCTGTTGGAAAACTTTTTGTTTATGGTATATACACTAGCTACAATCCGAGTGCTGAATAGCCACCTGTGGCCAGGGCTATGATGCATTGGATGACACAGATAAAAATGTTCCCAACTCTGCAGGAAGTGCTGGTAGAAATGCTGATGTGGAGTAACACATGACTCTCATGTATTATTTTATGTAGCATTTTTTCTTTACATGGGTTTTAAATTCAACAACTTTTTGAGTGCAAATTAGTTTTCATGTGAAAGGATTAACTTTTCTTGACCCACTTCTGTTTTCCTAAGTGGATGAGGGCTCCTTTGAAGGAGGCGATTATTTATGGAGATAATCATGAGAAGAGGATATAAACCTACAGAGCAAGAATTCACAAATTGGATTTATGTAGATAAAAGGAAGCAGTAATTCAATAACTGACCCAGACTGGACATATGTGATAGAATTACATGTTTATTTGTGTACTAGTCACATGGGTATACACATTTATTCAAACTTATCAAAATGAATAAGATGCTTACAAATGCTTCTCAAACTCTTTACAAACATGGAGAGAAAAGTAAAGTAAGTTGAGAAAGGCTGGTATTACCAGATCAACCATGGTTGGCATTTTGCTTCTAGAAACCAAGGATTTAGAAGAGAATCGGGGAGGGGGGTGGTATGTGGTGTAGAAGGTTAAGCCTCTGTCCACAGTGCCAGCATCCCATTTGGGTGCCAGTTCAAATCCTAGCTGTTCTACTTCTGATCCAGCTCTCTGCGAACATGCCTGGGAAAAGCAGCGGAAGGTGGCCCAAGTGCTTGGGCCCCTAGACCCACATGGGAGACCTGGATGAAGCTCCTGGCTATTAATGTTGGCCAAGCTCAGCCCCATCATTGTGGCCATTTGGGGTGTGAAACAGCTGATAGAAGATCTGTCTCTCCCTCTCTCTGGACTCTGCCTTTCAAATAAATACATGAAATCTTAGAAAGAGAGAGAGAGAGAGAACGAACTGGGGCTTTATGTCCCCACAATCCAGTAGCTCCAAGGGAGCAGCATTTCGCTTTCACTTACTATGTTAAGAGATTATTTCCGTATGTTTTTCAGGCTGGCAACTTGGATATCTTCCGTGGTTATACAAAATCAGATATTAGGTAGAAATCTCTTGTAGATGTCTTGGGCTTATTGTAAGATACTTATATCAACAATCACCCCCAATAACCCTCTCTTTTTGCCTCTTACATAAATGCAGGTCAGGGATTCTCCCTTTTCTTTGTCTGCAGCCTCTCTCCTCCTCCCACCTTATTCACCCACCCCTCTATATTCTTATGTCACCATGACTTTGTAGATTTCCGGTCTTCCCCACCCCTTATTCATTCTCTGTTATCCTCTCCACCCTTATTAATCCTGCCTCCTCCATATCCTTATGTCACCATTGTTGTGGGTTACCTTTAGTAATGATTTTAATAGTAATACCTCAAGGGTCCTAGCCATCTATTCAAATAAGAATTTTGAATATCGGCTCGAATAAAACAGGCGACATGGTAAGGGTTAGCATTTATGTAGTGAGAGAAATACACAGGAGTGAGGGCTTTATTTAAGGGAGAAAGGAGTCAGGGATTTAAACTGGAGTTTTCATCCCAGGCTTTTCCAGGGAGTAGACCAGAGGCTGCAAGGGAGAGAGAGCACGCGGGCAGGAAAGCAGGGGCAGGCAGGTGGCTACAAGTCCCACGCCCAGAGAGGTGGGGACAACAAGAGAGGGGCCCAGCACATTTTATCTACTTCCAAAAGGGGAGTGGTTACATACAGATAGGATCAGGTAGGGGCATGAGATCACAAAAGGGGACAGGGTGAAGGGGTGGACTTCCAGCTCACGAGTCTAGTTGGTTTAATCCTATCTGCCTGCCTATGTCACCATGACTTTGCACTTGCTGTTCCTTTTGTCTTTCCC